CTTGCTCAAATAAATTCACAATCCTTTCTCAGCTGACTCATCACCTGGAACACAAAGTTTGCCTGTCTTTTTTAATAGAAACTAGAGAGAGTACATGGAAATAAAAGAAGGAATATTTACAATTTACCAAAATGAGTGTATCAGTATCTCACTTTTAAAACAGTAAAGAATTGTAGAAGATTAAATTCCATTTTTATAGTCCAAGCTTCTGTTATACAGGTTATATTAAATCAATCATCTGATATCTGATTACTTTAGGTCAAAAGGCTTTTGGTTTTTTTAAGAAAAACTTTTATTTTTTTTTAAAGTGGGCTCTGGGAACATAAGGTTAGTGCATCCCAGTCTTCAGTGTCCTGGTGGTGATCTGTCCTTCTCAATGATACGAACAATGACTCCTGTGCCTGACACCGCACCACGGTCCCCAGCATTCCTCACGGCTTGTGAGACGGTTTCATACAGGTGTTCTGGATCCATCTTGGGTTCCCCGAGGGACTCATTCATCCCGTGTGTTTGATTGGCACAGGTGCCACTGACCACAAAGTTGTCAGTCACCATGAGGCAGCCAGTGAGGTCTAGAGACCAAATGAAGGGCTTAAAGTTCTTCTGGTGCAATCCAGCAATGACTGGCTGAGTGTATGAGGGGCCAAACCATTTCTCATACTAGAGGTGGGTCACCATGCTCATGAGGGCGATAAGGCTTCATCTGCTGACCTTCTTTCAACTCATACAGGTTCAGCTGGAACTTGAGGCACTGGGCCACAGTCTGGATGTCAGTGGTTAGCCCAGCCAGGCCTGTCGCCCATGGGAGAGATCTGGAAATCCGTGGTCAGCATCTCGGCCTGGATCCCAAAGCACCTGTTGGCAGTTGACAGCCACACAGTTCTTCCCCTTCATGGCCATGAGAGCACCTCCATTATAGGACATAGTAGACATGATTGCAGTGTAGTAGGACCTCCACTCACTACAACCTGAGATGCTTTCTAAAGTGTAAGATATCTACTTTTCCTCCCTGGCGGCTTGAAGATGGGCCACCATCATGAATGACACAGTAACTATCTGTACCAGGAAGTTCATGAACAACAGACTCAGTGGAAACAAATGGTCATTGAAGTCCTTCACTGTGGGAAGGCAATAATACCTGAGACAGAAATTTGGGAAAAACTAGCCAAAATGTGTAAGACCACACCAGATGCCATCTTCGTATTTGGATTCAGAACCCATTTTGGTGGTCAAGAAGACTGGCTTTGGCATGATTTGTGATTCCTTGGATTACACAAAGGAAAATGAACCCATAGACTGGTGAGGCATGGCCTGTATGAGAAGACCTTAAGAAAACAGAGAGGAACAAAATGGAAAAAGTCAGAGGACTGCAAAGGCCAACGATGGTGCTGGCAAAAGTGAGCTGGAGATTGGTCAAGAGGAGTAAAGACTCTTCAGTGATTTTATCTGTAGTGACTGCGCAGATTTTTCATGAGGATTAATAAACTTAGAACTTTTATGTGAAAATAAAAGTGTAAGTATCTTAAAGTATATGTTCCAACAGTTTTAGGCCAACACATTGGTATTAACAGGTAATTTGAAGTTGCGGGGATGAGATGCCAACTAGTTTCCTTCCGCTCAATTCCTCATTACAACTGTCCTTTTGCAATTTTCTCAATTATACGTTAACCAGTTTGGAAGATGCACTTATGTACCTAATTTTTTTACATTAAGGTCTTGGTAGAGAAAAGTCAAAGCTGGGGATTGTGGACATATGTGGTTCTAAAAGAAAAAAAAAACGCAAGTGTCCATGGTAGGATAGTGGGTTGCAGCCTTTTCCCTCACAATATTTAAACTCTTAAGTGTGAAATGATTACAACAAACCCTATTGGAGGCAAAGGAAGGTGATAAAAGCAAGTATTTCTACTCAAACATGTGGCCTTTCCCTGGGAGCATTTAAGAGCACGTACATCTATCTACAACAGATGGCATAAGCAGCAAGTAGTTTGCCTGCTGTAGGAATGTGGATAGAGTGGTCTTCCTAAGGCCCATTTATAACCCATAATCCATAAAGCAAATGATGTTATGACCTTCGTTCTATCCAACTCTTTGTTAAAAGCTGTTAACAGATACAATAAGGGAAAATTACAAACTGCTCCAGCTCCAATAAAACGTCCCAAATCAGCCCTGAATATTATTTCAGGGGAAGTAACGTCAGCAATTTTTTGGATCTCAAAGTTAGGTGTACACTTGGGTGATACAGGCAATTTCATCTTTGAGAACAGAGCCAGTGTGAGCCAGAAAGCTAGAAGTCACGTTTAAACGATACAACACCACCACCTAGAGGCTGGATACTAAGGCATTGGACACTACATCTAAACCCAGTGAAAAGCTGGACAAGCACTGCCTAGACTGGAAAGGCACCCGTGCCTTCACACTGCGCTGCAATGAGACGATTTAAATGAACATATGAAATCTTCAACATATGAAATATTTAGGATATGCTACAGGGTTCTCCAACATATGAAATATTGAGGACATGCTACAAGGTAGCAAAATAGGGTTCCCCCATCGTTACCTGCAAAACAGGCCCCCAACAGAGAACAGACCCACCCATAGCTTAAGTTCAGCAGGGAAAGGACAAAGTAGGCTTTTGTGAAGGATGTGGCATTTAAGCTTAGATTAGTAGGGTAATTAATTTCTACAGGACAAGGGTAGCAAATTCCAGGCTCAAGAACAACATAAGCTACTAAGCTCAATTGTGAAACATACGAACTTTACAACCAGTTCCTTGATGCTTAAGACATTTGAAAAAGAGAGTAAAAATCATTACTTCCAATCCTGTTGAAAACGTTTTAGTAAAGTGTCCTTTGGTATACTTATTATATTCTGTTTGAATAAGCATTTCATAAAGGGTCAAAAAAACTTACAAACATGGGATATAAACTAAGGTAGACTTCTCTATTGCAGGTCTTCTCAAATATTGCATCTTTAATATTTGCAATCTAAAGAATACTGATCTTTAGTATTTGACTGCACATAGTAAATTTCCAAGAAGAGTACAGAATGCTGTGTCCCAAATTTAACGATCAAATTCATTTTCTGCAAAACATCTCATGAGCAAATCCTCCCTCCTTGGGGAAGGAGGGTCCAGTGGCAGTTTAAGGACGCAGATTCTACAAACTGCATAGGTTCCAATTCTAATTCCACCACTCGCAATTGAGCCTCTCTCAGACTGTTTCCCCATCTGCAAAACAGCAATGTATACCTACCTTGCAAAGTACTGTGAAGATTACAGAATACACATAAACCACCAAAAATCACTGGTCCCCCTCATGCTCAAGTCTCCCAGCTCTGCAGGAGCACTTCAGGGAAGATACTACTAACAGAAATATACTCCAGCTATGCCCAACTGTTTGCTGCCTACATTCCCTGTAAAAACTATGCTCCTTTGGGGTCTCTAGGGATGGGGAGTGTTTAAAGTTACTTTACTAGCTTAGATGGAAAACAATAATGTAATTCACTAACCTCTTTCGGATACAATAGGAAGAACTTTCGGCATTAGCAAAACAAAACAGGACAAACAGAAAAGTCCACAAATCATATACATTACTTTCCCCAACTATAAAGTTTGTAACTACCAGAATTTTATTTTTAATCATTGTTTCTCTGTATAAGCACAGAACTCAAAATTTGGAAGTAAATTAGCACAACTCACAAACACCTTGAGTATTCTATATTGGGACACCATTATAGATGTCTGTAATGTACATGTGTGTATGTGCATGTACATGAATGTGTGTGAACGGGAGAGGTGGTATGTGTGAAACAGTCGAAACACCTTGCTGCAAAAGATTTTAAAGGTTTTACTTCAACATCTGTCCCAGCTCTCTCTGAGGTAGCCCGGTACAGATAAACATCCACTGGGATGTAAAATACATCAGGCAAATCCTTCTTAATAATTTGATTCCCCCATTTCCCTTTTCCTGAGTTGCCTCCTTTCCTCATTCATTTTATTTATACTTCATCATTTTCACCTTTTCTCCTTCATCACTCCCTGAATTCACATTTTACCATAGTAATGGAGAAAAAAATATTTCTGGGGCACCTATGTGCCACATTAACAGTCATCTAGAGGCATTACCTCCATTTAACCAACGGAAGCCTGAAGCTAAAGGTAAAGGCAGGCAGCACTGGGCTGCCAGATCTGGAGCACAGACCCCACCTGCCCACCAACTAGATCTATGACAAGGTTGGTCACCCTTGGTTTCTGCCTATTGCACTGGCATCACTCTCAACAGTATCAACAGGTCTGGAGCTTAAGTTATATGGTAATACCACCTATAACCCTAGTCAGGGCTGTTTAATCCTCTGGGCTTAGGCTTCCATAATTTGAAAAAGGATCCAGGATCTGATAGTATTTTAAGATTTTTTTCCCAGTCTGTTTCTGTGATTTCTATTTCAGAGGTTTAAAACTGACCTTCCAAAGTAGCCCAATCATAAAAGATCTTCCACCTTACCTCCCTTTTATAAGGTTATGCATATTTTACTCCAATCAGTTTAGTCCCAACCTAACTATATAAGCATCTGTATAAACAAACATTGATTTAACTGACATTTAGGGTCAATAAGTATCTCAGGAACTGGAAGAAATGAATCACAAGCTGGAATCTGTGCAAATTTCTTATATGGTGTTCTACTTAATTCATCTCCTCCCTAGCTTGAATATAATACATCAACTATGCCAGGCCCTGCATACTCCCCACCATGAGTGAGATCTGTTAGTATGAAACACTACAACCAAAAAAAACCATTTTCACCTGGGCCCAGACCTCCTACCCAAAGCAGAAACAGCCCAGGAGGGCTGTCTGGATACAGGGCATGCAATTCCTGCAGCAGGACAGAACCTGAAATCCTGACACATAAGCATGTTACCTATAAGAGGCAGCAAAAGAAAGGAAATGGCTGATAAAATGATAGAGTGGGACAACCCTATGTTCTATCACCCCACCTTTTCATATCTTAGGCAAATAAAAAAAACTAATTTTGGTGTAAATACATTTATTGATACCCATTTTATATAGTTCAATGAAATAATCTATAAATATAAAAGCATTTTTCTTTTGGATATCACCATGGTCCATGTAAATACTCAGCAGTCAGTCACCTGCAGGAAGCACTCCAAGTCACACTGTCAGGTTTACAGACCTGAATATACATATTTCATTAAACAGTGGCACTTATGTACTCAAGTGGTCCAGTGGCTTTGGAATATACGACTACTGGGCATGTGGAGTAAAAATAATGTGTAAGTTTAAATCAATAGACAGGGTATCAACCAACAACAAAAAGAAACAGTTATGAATTAATATGCTAGGCGAAGAAAGTACCACAGTTGACACCTGGTGTCAGAATACTGGAGACAAAGAATGCTGAACAACACATGTGTGGTGCCACGTGCTCTCTCCAACTCCCAGAGGACAGTCCACCAGTGCCATAGGGTCATTCATAGTCAATAAAACAGCAGTACTTAAGGAATCTAGACAGCTTAAAATAAAAGGTATGTAGCTGCTGGTATCAAATTTAAAGAAAAATGAGTTAACTATTTCAATGACATAATGAGTTCCTTCCCTAGAGAGAGGAGATTGTGGGGGAAACAATTTTTAAAAATTCCTTTTGCTATATTGATCATGATCATTTATCTTATGCAGGAGAAAGAATCCAGATATCTGGTACCCAAAACACAGGCGCAAAAATTTTCTTCTGTTTAAAAATTTTTTCCTCAGTACTTCCACTGTTGAACTTTGCCCTTGACCTGATGCAGCATAAAATTTTCTCATTTCTTCGGTAACAAATACAGGAATGTCCTTTGCTGTAGTCAGACCATGAGTCTTCTGAGTTAGCAAGCAAATGCATTTAAAAGGTCTTAGGTATGCAATGCCCAAAACTGAAATCGGAGGCAGTGTTAGAACTTAAGCAAGGCAGCATTTTTAGAGACTACTCAACTGAAAACCTAAGTGAAGCATATAAAAACTCAGTTCTATTATTTTCAACTGATAAATGATGGCAACATTCCCTGGTAAGGATGGGTAAGTGGTGTTATCTCCAGTCCAATATATCCCAACTACTTAAAGTAGGACCCCAAAGAGGAGAAACACACACTTGAGTTGTGGTTTCTATAATTCTTTTTTTGCCATTTTTTAAAAAGAAGAAATAGTAGTTTCAGTTGTACACCACTGATTGAAGGGGTTTTCGTCCAAATGGAAACTCTACCCCTCGTCTCTAGTGGGACAGGCACCAGATTCCCACAAGCAGCAACTCCCATGTCCTGTAGCACGCGGCATCTGACCCTGGAGTGAAGAGTAAGCCGGCACAGAGCCCCGACCACTGGAACTCAGGCTAGATGGCGTTCCGCGGTGTGCCGTTGTGTGCCAATGCTTTCAAGCTGGGGACACTGGTCTGGTGACCACAGCCCCTGTGTGAAGTCACACCCACCTCAAAAACCTCATGAATAGCTTTTCGGAAACAATGGAAGTTGTAGTCTATTAAACCTGCAAGAGGGAAAAAGAAGATCAGTCCTCCTGAATGTCAACAGTGAAATTATCTACTAGGACACACTTGGTGACAGAAAACACTAACTTATATGCATTATAAAAAACACACATCCAACTGAGGAATTGTCAACACTGAAAATGAACAAAGCACATGCCCAAATTTTTAACACTGGTATCTCTGGGGTCTGGGAGTGGAGCGGTTAAACAAACAAAGGAATTAGGAAGGTGAATTTGCTCAAAAATTTTACAATAAAATCTACAATGAAAATATAATACTTTTTGAATTATGAATCTTTTCCTTTTACATGTTTTTTGGGCAGCCAATGAAGAACTAAAGGAAACAGCATAGTAGTTTGGCCAAACATTTGGTAGAGCCCTGAGGTTTGGTAGGTACGAGAGGCCCACCAGGCAGAGCCTTAGGCATCCTGTACCCCGCCTCTCAAGCAAGGCAGCATCTTCTTCATCTGTTTCATGAACTGGATCCCAAACAAGATTCTGATCAATCAAAGAATTCTACTGTATGACAGAAATGGCTAGTTGTCTACTAAACATCCATTTTCCTCCTTTTTCCTCGGAAACAGAACCCCAATCTTGGATAAGCATACTGGTGCTGAAACTTACACTCCCTGGCCTTCCTTAAGAGTTATGTATGGCACATGACCAATTCTGGCCAATGAGATAAATCCAAGTGTGTAGGACTTCATAAAGTCTCCTTAGAAAGGAAGAGAATATACTCTTTCCTCACCCCTGTTCCTCCTTAATGACTGGAATATAAATAAAATGGCTGGAGCTCCTAGAGACATTCTGGACTATGAGGTGAACTTGAGAACAGAAGCCAGTGCTAAGAATGGTAGAGCAGAAAGAAAAGTACTTAGGTCCTCAAGGATATGAGACATAAAGACAACACACAAGGAACAAATCAAACAAAAAAACAAAAACAAATAGAAAAAGGAAAAAAAACAGCCTGGTGTCAAAATGACTTACAAACGTGAAAGAAGTCCAAAGGAAAGAAAGCAAAGTACAGGGCAAAAACAGCTAATGAAACTTCAGATACTAAGCAGAACTTTGGGGAAACAAGCAAGATTTCAACAGGCAGGAAAGAGGAACAAAATTTTAAGAACACTGGCAATGAGAACACAGCACAGGTGGAAGGCAGGTATTAGTCTGAAGAGAGGGGCAGGGAATTCTTGGTAGGAAGTACTGGGAATCAAGTCTAAATAAGTAGGTTAGAGCCAAACAAAGAAGATCCTTCAGACTCAGGGGAAAAAAAGTATAAAGAAAAGTTTTCCTAAGTTCAACTACATTAAAACTGCAAATGGTAAAATAAAATTGACAGGGAATGTTGAACACTGGCCTGGTATCTGATGATATTATTAAATCATTATTAATTTGTTTATATCTCTTAATGGTAATACTGTTACATTTGAAAAAGAGTACTATCTCTTAGAAATATCTCTGAAATCTGTACAAAGTAATTTGATGTCAGGGATGTTTTTCTAAATAATGGAGTAGGGAGAGAGGTATAGACTTGAAATAAGACTGGCTTTAATTTTGATAATGTTGAATCTGGGTAATATATTAAAAAGAGTTCATTGCATTATTTTCTCTACTTTTATTTTACATGTTTGACAGTTTTCACAATGAAGGAGTAAAAAAGAGTAAGCTGGAAAAAGGACATACAGGGAACTAGACTGACGCAGTGTTAATCATTACTAAAGCAGGGAGGTGGGTACTGGAAGAGTCATCGTGCTGGTCTACTTTTATACATACCTGAAAATTTCCATACCTAAGAGTTTTTTTAAAAATCTTAAACATTATAATGGAGAAAAATAAAGAACTCCTAAGAAGTACAAAAAAGATACGGTATGAAAAAGAAAAGGAGTAAGAAGTAGTAAATTACCAAAGAAACCTGATCAGGCATAAAAAGGTAACCGCTTGACCTAACTATTAAAAGTAGTAAAAATTAGAGCCAAATGAGATACTATTTCACATTTACCAGGCTGACAGTAACTAAACAGTCTAACAATATCAAGTATTATCAATGGCAAAAACTCCCACAGTACTGTCAAGGTAAAAATGGTAAAGACACTTTGGAGAGCAATGTCTAATAAATATGACGTTAGGTCCTCTATAAATTCCACTATTAAATATATACTCTAGAGAAATTCTCACATATGCAAAGGCAAATTGTTAATGAGCATTTGTTGCAAAACTAATTTTAATCTTAAATATAATCTAAATGTCCGGCAACAAGAAAATAAATTGTGGCATATTCAACCCATAAAATATGGTATGGCAGTGAAAATGAATGAACTAGAGGTGTATACTACCAATATGGATAAGTCTCAAAAACAATCTTGAATTACAGAAGAGACTACTTACATTTTTACGTCATTTATATGAAGATATACAATACTCTATATTGTTTATGGATAGAGGTGAAGTAATAGAATAAATCATGCATGGGAAAAATAAAACATTACAGGTGCAAAGGAGGGGTTTTCAACTGAGAAATACACAGAAGACACAGAGGACATATATGTATTTGTCATGTTTTAGTTCTTAAGCTCAAAGAAGTACATATTTTTGTTTTATCCAAAAAGCTTTGCATATCTGAAATAATTAATATTAACATTAATGAAATAATATTTATCATTTAATATTAACTAAAATCTCAGGCAGAAGGGCAGGGACTTGTTGTGGTAAGTAGCAGATATTGTAGATCCATACATAGTTAGGTAACATGATAAAAGCAATTCTCTAAAATCTAGCCGCCTTTTGAAACAAAAGATGATTCACACACAGGGGTAAGCAAAGGTAGGTTTAAAGGTGTTCATACTGAAATAATAAAATTAATAAATAATAACACAAGAATAAACTGTTTTACATACTCACAACTGTAAACCTACTTTTGCCCATCCCTGTATGTGCTGAATGTATAAGCTCAAATAGGAAGTTGCTGCAGCACCACAAGTCTGGAGGGATCTATACTGGCGTCGCTGACAGTGGAAATAAAAAGGAAACCCAAGAAACAGTTCCTAATAACAAATGCTAAGATTTGGTGAAAATTCAATGTAAGCATACAGGAAAAGAATGGGAAAAGGGGAACACTGAATGCCCTCTTATTTGCAAAAGCCCTTTCAGCAATACCACCACCAAATTCTCTGACTACGAGACAAGTAAGCTTGGACATCAAAAAAAAGTCATAACAAACAACTGAGTAGGGCAGCCAGGATGGCCATGAAACAAAGGGGAAAATGTTCAACAGTTTTTGACACCATGGCAAGAAAACAATCAAATAAGTGTACATGTCTTATCAATAGCTTCAAACATGGGACAGGAATATGGGCCCAAGTCAGACCTGCAGCTGTGAATTTTTCAATCAACCATATAGAGAAGATTAACTAAAGCCATGGGCTGGACGAGCTGACCTGGAGAAGAGGAGAAGTGAGCAGAAAGGGTTGACTCTGAAGAACACTAAGAACCACGAAAAAGAAAAACAAAGAAACAGGAGAGATGGATCGTCAGAAAAACAAATACATAAAATAATGCAGAGGGTTCAGCTTTAGGAAAGCAAAGAGAGAAGAAAGTTTCAAGTAAGGAAGAAGGAAGCTTCGAGTAAAGAGAGACTGACAAGGTCATGTGCTTCAGAAGGCTGAAGAGGCTACAGGATGGGAAAAGGCCACTGAACGCAGCAAGGGGGTAACCTAGTAACCTCTGAAAGAATCATCTCAGTAACTGGTTCAGGTGGAAGCCAAATGGCAGGCACCTGGGTAATGAAAAGGTCTGAAATAACAGAGGCTGGAATTAAAACATTTGATTTAAAATAGAATATCAAAAGGAAGGAGTAAGTATAATTATATATGGAAGGGAAGGGACAAAAGTAATTTGAGCTTTTAATCATCTAACAGCCATTTTCAACCTTTTTCATCTCATGGCACACATAAATTACTAAAATTCTGAGGCACGCCAAAAAATATATATTTTTTCCAATCTAACAACAAAAAAAGGTATGATTTTGATTCGTCACACCAAACAGCTATTGTTGTGTTAACTACTGCCATTTTTTTATATAGTAATCTAAGGAAAAAGAGGTCAGTGCCTCTGACTAAATAGGCATTGCGTGTTCTAAAAATTCTTGCGGCACTCTGGTTGAAAATCTCTGGTCTAACACTGAAATATTATTTTCTTGTTTTCAAGAACCTAAAAAATTATAACAAGAGACCTTAACATAAAAACAGCATTTTAAAATGCCATTACCTTTTCGTTCAAAACTTTCTTCTCTAAGAATGCAGACCAGTGCCAAAAATTTTGTCACTTCCTTTAAATAGAGGACGGTTGTATTATTCAGCTTGATAATTGCCATAGATTCTTTGTCATAAGCACTGCCACTGCCATCTTCCTTTAACCTGTTTCAAAAGAAAGTATTGTTCATTACTGGGTTCTCAACTAGGTTATTTTGTCACATTTCATTTGCACAATGACGAGTCTTTCTACCCCGTTTCCCAAATGTTTTTTATGAAAGAAGAATACTGGCTTAATTAAATATATTGGCACAGACATTTTACTTCAGGTGTCTAGGGTCCCAGACCTTGATGCAGCATCCCATACATTCACACTTTCATCTTATTTACCTAAGACGCATAAAACACAGCGGGCTAAGATAGTCCTTTTATGCTACTCTGTCCTGACAGAGTCTGCAAATAAAGGACCCGAAGTAAAAATACAACTACCATTAGTGAAAAAAGAGTAACAAAAAAACTAAAATAAATACAGTTTATCAAAGATAATGCAAAATCCTGATGCCTGCAAAAGGAGCGTTACAGGGTCTGAAAACTTCATTAAACTAGAACTATCATTCATTCTAGAATTCTTAAATGTAGTTCCCCTTTAAAAAATGTAAATCAACAGTCAGGTAAGAGGGAAATTAAACTATAATAAAGCACACCAAAGTGCACCCATAGACTGTGTTAATAAGAAGATGATAATGGGTTTTTTCTTTCACAATGTACTTTATAATGTAACTTTGTAATGTATTACACTGAAAATAAACTTTACACCTACTTTTGACTTTAATTACAGAAAAAAATTGGTTTATAAAATTTTCATTTATTTTTAAGAAAAAGCAAATGTTCTAGTCATCCATTTTTTAAAATTAGGAATGAAAACATGAAACTCTACTGAATAACATAAACAGATATCTCATTTTCATTATGGAAAAAATAAAAACAAAGGAGGGTATGTAATCCCAAAAGTGAAAAATAGAGATGGAATAGACAAGTAAAAAACAGTTGAGACAAATGCATTCTGCTACTCAGAGACAGCTAAAGAAAGGCACTGACAAATTAGGCAGAAAGACCAAGGCAAAGTGTAGGGACAGAGAAATGAAAGAGGACCTTAGACTATGTGGAGCAGAGAAGAAAAACAGATAAAGGGCACAGGTATCTGAAAGCAAAAGCAACGTCAGACCATCAGACAGTGCCTTGGGAATAGTGATGTTAATGTAACAGGGCAGCGATTTTAACCTTTTGCATCTCATGGCACACATAAACTAATAAATAAAATTACGCAGCACATCAAAAAATACATTTTTTGCTGATCTGACCCCCCCCCCCAAAAAAGGTATAATTTTTATTCATTTACACCAAATGGCTATTGTTGTGTTGGCTATTGTCATTTTTTTAATTTGACAGTCTAAGGGAAAAGAGGTCAGTGCCCCTGACTACACAGTCAGGGATTGCATGGTTTAAAAATTCTTGCAGCACACCAGTGTGCTTGCTGTGGCACACTGGGTAAAAATTGCTATATTAGGGGAATCAGGGCTATCAGAGGCAACAGAGGTTATTGGCTTTTGAAATACCAGTAATTCTCCAAAGTTTTCACTCATCCTCTGGGATAATGTACAAAATCACATCTTTGTTGGCTTTTATAAATTTCTGTATGGAGTTTGGTGAATTTATATAAAGGAAGAGTGTATATTTTACAGATTTACTTTAGAAATTCAGATATATGGGTCACATTTTTAGACGTATAGTCCTTCTGACATCAATTTCCTTAGGGATAACTCATTCCACAAAGCCTCAGGTTAAATTAGGAACCAGTACCCACTATGTCACTCAGAATGTTTTAAATAAATTAATCTAGCCTCTTGATCTAGCTAAGTCCCTAAGTGAGAAGATGCAGTACAACCCTCCCCCTCCCCCCCAACCCTGCTGCCAAATAACGGCAGGAGAAAGTATGGCTCTAGTCACATTTTTTTCAACTGTTCTTATCCATCCTCTCTGAAGGAGTAAGACTCAGCAGAGAAATCATGTGCCAGGTTGAAGCACTACGGTCAGAACAAGTCCACTTTAGACAGTACTTACTAGAGGCCTCAGAAACTAATCCCGTTGACAAATCGAACTGGTAGTTTTCCATCTGAGATCTTGGAGGTGTATGTACATAACTTACCCATATATACACGACACGTCAATTACAACATCAATCATGTCACAACAGAGTTCGTAAGACTGCATATCCACAGGAGAACTATCTGTTGCAATGTAGATTTTGCTGACAACATCAAAGAGAAAAGCTTTTTCAATACCTGAATTCTTGGGGGGAGAAAAAATAGAAGAAATGTTCAGTCTGGGGTTTTTTGTTTTTTTTTAAGAATCACAATTTGCAACTTATCAAAGATCTTGAATTACTGATGAATATCCAAGGACATTTTTAATGGTACAACCCAATACTAAAATAAAAGATAGTACTGGGTTGAGAGGCACTTCTGCTACCCAAAGAAAAAAAGTGAAATTATTTCTCTGTTATGACTTACTGACATTAAGTGCATCAGTCAGTCAAATTTGTTTTTTTCTTCATCACTTAAATGAATTATTTTCTAGTACACCATAAAAAACATTGACAAAAAAATTCTCCAAAAATCAAGCCATGCTACATTTTCAGTAACCCTTTCTTGTTACAATAATCAGTCTGATTTGAATGACCTTGCCACCAGAAAGGCTTTATGTGACCATTAGCAAAGCATAATGCAAAAGCCCAAAAAACTGGAGATCACTACACATTGAGTCCTTCAAAGTAATGTTCAGAAAATATAATGGCTGAATGCTAAATTTATTGGAGGGATATACTTTTTTATTAAGCTAAGTCCTCAAAATACATGAACGTAAATTATGATACTAAGATTAGTTAGCCAGAAAATGAAAAGATCCATTTTTTAATGTGACCTCCGTTACGGCAGAGAATAAACTACGCCAAATTCCCAAAACTCAGTCTTGTCCAGGTGCTACTCTTCTTTCAGAAAACAGGTATCATGAAGATATTTTTAAATTAAGAAAGCATGAGAAAATTTTTCACCAATTCATTTTAAGACAAAAAGGATAAGTACCAAGGAAAGAATTCAGAAAATAACTCAAGCCATTTTTAATGTTTTTATATGTTAACTATGTCATTAGTTTTTAAACTTGATTCAGAGAAATTCAAACCATTTTTTTGGAGAACTTGATAATACAAATATATTCAATGAAAATGAAATAAAAAACTATAGTGAATTAAATAGCTCACTTACTGATATAAAAATATTTAATAGGTTTTCCAAGGTCGGCAGTTGTGGAATGAGTTTCTGTACCACCTTACTAAAGGCTTCAAATATTGAATGATCATAGATACTAGTCAAATAAAAGCTGAAAAACATAACACAGTTTGATCAATCTGAAAAGTCTCAAGTTTGGTGACAATTATAATACATAAAATTTTAAGTTTCTTAACACTGATTTCAGTAAGTTCAAATAAAGCCTTTTTATCTTGTTTACCATTCCCATAGTTGAAGATGACAAATGCGGTGTTCCCACCTGGCTTGTAGCTATCCCGCCCTTTTATTGCATTTACACATCAGGCAATTGAGGTAATACTGAGGAAAGCCATTTTCCGAGCAGAAACTTGAATATTCACCTAACTCCTTGCAATCTGATTCAAAAATCTTGGCTTCTTAAGCCCATAACTGAAAAAAGTCAAGAGAAATCTGAGGAGCCCTGGCCGGGTTGCTCAGTTGACTGGAGCAGTGTCCCATACACCAAAAGGATGTAGGTTCAATTCCTGGTCAGGGCACCTACCTAGGTTGTGGGTTCGATCCCTGGTCATGGTTCATATGAGAGGCAAATCAATCCATGTTTCTTTCTCTCTCCTCCCCTTCCTATCTCTCTCAAATCAATAAACATATCCTTGTGTAAGGATTAAAAAATTAAATTAAAAAGTACTCTTTTAAAAAAAGATTTTATTTATTTTTTTAGAAAGGGAAGGGAGGGAGAAAGAGGGAAACATCAATGGGTGGCTACCTCTCGCGTGCCCCCTACTGGGGACCTTGCCCAGAACCCAGGTATGTGCCCTGACCAGATTCGAACCAGTGATCCTTTGGTTTGCAGGCCAGTGCTCAATGCACTGAGCCACACCAGCCAGGGCTAAATTAAAAAGTACTTTAAAAAAGAGAAAGAGAGTTTAGAGAAGACAGGTGACAGTTAATAAATAAGTATACATAATTTGGTTCTCTACTGAAATGTCACCTCCTCAGAAAATCCATTCCTGACCCCCCCTACTTGAAATAGTATTTCTGTACCCATTGCTTTCTACTTCTTTTCTCTAATTTATTTCTCTTCATACCACTGACAAGAACTTAAAATTACACTATACATTTGTAAGTGCTTCTGCACTGTCTCATTCATTAGAATGTAAGCTCCACAAAGAGAGACTGTCAGTCTTGCCTGCAGTTGCCACCCCACTGCCCTAAACAGTGCTCATAAATATCTGAATAAATAAATGAATACAACTGGTACTTAGAATGTATGTAAATAACCTATTAAGAAGGATGGCAGCTGGTGACCTATAAAAAATGGGACAGGAATTTGGTGGACTAAAAGGATGTACACTGGAGAAGTAACATCTATACATTTGACAAAACACATATTTGAGAATTTGAGGGAGAGGAACCTTCAACAATTTAAACAGCGTGAACAATTCTCTTCATTATACAGTTGTATCCATGACATATTTGTAAGTACATATTATAAAGTCAGAAACACAGAACTGTGGGTATCACGCTTTACATTTAATTTAAAGACACAGTGCTCTCGAGGAGCTGACCTAAGAACTCAACCCTACGCAAGATGAGGCTCTGCTCTAGACGTGAGAGCAAGGAAACAGATGAGACCAAGATGACTCACCAAAGGCACTAGGGACCAAGGAATATTTTAGAGTTTCCTTAGGCAAAAAGGTTAGCAATTTGAGAAGGTTCTGCAGGGACAGTGAGACTTGGAAGTGGACAGGGATAGGGATAGGAAGAACGGCAGTTTAGTACGCTGAGTTTCTGGAAACCAGGAATCAAATGGAGCCTCATGCATAGGCCTGGTATTAATTATTAAAAACTTGATGCAGAATTCGGAGGTTAACAAGACATAAGGTCTTATAAAGAACTGGGGAAAGGGACAGTGTGTACCACTGGAGTGGGAAGCCTTGCAAAGGGACATTGAGTATAAGAAGGATTCCCATGGGCACTAGGGAACACAGGACAATCATGGCTTAAAATCCATTATTAATAGTGGATTCCCAAAAAATATGATTGAGGAATTTCACGAGAACTTTCACTTCTCTCATAAATACTGTACTGCTTTTTGTTTAATGCATGAATGACTTAAAAATATTTTTAAATTTTAATCTTGGTAAACTAGAGATCAATAAGACTTTTCTATATGATTTCCTAAAAGAACTGAAGGACTCTAGAGTCTGAAGCCCCGGGGGATATTTCAGGCAAGGATGGGGTTGGCTTCAGCCTATAAGGAAGTCATTGTAACAGACGTGGGACAAGGAAATAGATACACTCATGTCTCTCCCCTGCTTCCCCTTTAAGCTGTTTGTAACATCAGCTCTTTATATCATCAAAAAAACATTTTCTTGCTCATTTCTACCTAGAACAAACTTAATAGCAGCCCTACAGATTTATAGGATAAACCCACCTAACCCAAACTTGAGACTGTCATAAAAGCATAAAAGTGTTTTGAAAAACATAAGATACATTAGAGTCCAGATTTGAAAGTAAACCCTCTTTAAAAGGCTCTTCCTACTGCCCTGGCCAGGTGGCTCAGTGGGCTGGAGCATCATCCCATACACCAAAAGGTTGTGGGTTTGACCTCTCACTGAGTCGTGTATAGCCAATTGGATGTTTCTCTCTCCCCCACTCCTCCCCATCCCCCCTTCTATCTTTAAAATCAGTAATAAAAAATATCCTTGGGTGAGGATTAAAAAAAGGCTCCTTCTACTCAGAAAAATACTGTGAAAACTCAAGCTACGAAGATCTACAGCAAATGTAACAGAGTCCTTGAAATGAGGTATGGGGCGGGGGGGAATGATGAAACCAAAAAAGGGGAGTCCCAAAACAGTTTTATGCCATGAGGAAACAGCCTGGCTCCAGTCTCTTGGGATGAATTTGGAAAAGCACCAACAGAAACACTTCACATGACTTCAACCTCTAGGAAAACGCGAAAAAGAGGAAAAGTAACTTCTCAATAGCATCAGGTTCCCAAAACTGCTTGAATTCAACAAAGAGGAGGTCAAAAACATTAGAGATTTGGGAAGGGTATACCAGTAACAGAAAGTTATGCATTTGTAATGACAGATATGGGAACACATTTACACATTTTTCAGGGCTCCCGTATCAAACACACATGTTGTTACCTAAGGTGGAGTTTTTCTAGCCCAGCATCTGCAAGGTCATCATTGGCCCTTTGATGAATGTCCCTCTGTGTTTCTATTTTGTGATCATCAGATAGACCATCAACTTTGTGAATAAAAACCTCAAAATTCATGTCTGGGTTAACTTTGTAAGCTTTAGAAACAGTAATGTGAAGTCTTGTTAAAGCTTCCATGTAGTCATCCTGTAAGTCAGAACAAAATAGTTTTTAAAAAGAAATCTTATAAAGCAAGTCATCAGTTAAGAAAGCCTCAAAACACCACAGAAAATATATTATCCTAACTATTCATAAGTACACAAACTCAAATACATTCACTTATACCACTAAATTGATCTTTAATCTCTCAAGATGAAAAACTTCAATTACCAAGTTAATGCTTGTAATTTTTGATACTGATAATATAAGGAAAGGGAAAAGGAAATGGACATTTCTTCCAATAGAATTGTTTTTAAAGTAACCCCAGCTCTGCCATTAGACATATGGCTTGAAGCAGATTTGCTTAAACTCTGTGGTCTCAGTTTACTCAGCCATAAAAACTGGAATTACAGTTACCTACCTCACAGTATTATAAAAAATAAATTAGATCAGATATGTGAAAGCACCCATTACAGAGCCCGTCACTCTGAAAGCACTCCTATATAATCAAGCTTATAAAAAGTAAGCTTCTTAACGATAGAGACATGTCCCATTTATCTGAGGGCCTGCCACTTGCTAAGCTCCTAATAAATGCTTGTTGGACTAAAATCAGTTTGGACAATTAAGTAAACTATTCACTTTAACATTTACTGGCTCAATTCATATATTCCTCCTTATATTATGGGCACTGATGAGATCTTTTCAGTAACATCATTATTGAAGTAGTGAAGTAGAGCAATATCTACTATTAACAAATAAAAATGGAAAGCTACTCATTAACTAGAACTCAAGGACATAAATCACATCTCCTAATCATCTGCTATTCTGTACTTGCACAATGGCATGCTTGCTTCCAAAGCACATCCGCAGTTGCATCTCTTACACTGCTAGGGAATCAACTGGCAAAGAAATGTGCTGTAAGAAGCACATGACAAAGATAAACAACTCTGCTTTGTTTCTACATCTTTTGCCACCAAAAAATTGAAATAAGTAACAATTATTCCTAACTACCTGTGCATCAATGACATATATCAAAGCTCCTGTTCCCCTGAAGATCATCTCGTAGTCAAAAGTTGGGTCAAAAAAGTCCATTTGCCCTGGAAAATCCCATATTTGGAAATTCACAAAGGAGCTATTGGAAATGTCATCTTTATAAATCTTGTTGGTACTTTCCAAAAAGAGGGTCTCGTTGGGTGACATTTTATGAAACACCACCTGTTAAAAGAAAAACAATTTTATGACTGTTCAACTTGGTATTTAAAGTTGAAAATTCTACCATGAATTAACCTAAAGAACCTGATGCCAGAGCAGTAACTTTAAAAGAGGTAAAAGGTAAACAGTGTATCCGTTGGTAACCACCATTCTTTACTTCTGACAAAACAGAATATAACGCCCTGACCAGTGTGGCTCAGTTGCTTGGGTGCCATACAGCAAAGTAAAAGGTCGCCAGTTCAATTCCCAGTCAGGGCACATGCCTGGGTTGCAGGCTCAGTTTCCAGTTGGAGTGCGTGAGAGCGATGAATTGATGTTCCTCTCCCGCTTTTTCTCCCTCCCTTCCCATGTCTCTAAAAAATAAAATCTTTTTAAAAAAAGATACCAAATTACTTTCCAGTCAGCCTACTTTGAAGCTGAAGCTTTTCTATTTTTTCTGCACCATATTCAATACTAGCAGTAGCACTCTCATCTCATTTTTTTTTCTGTTGAATTGTATTAATTTTGCAAAAATCTGCTTTAAGATTATGAAAGCTTATAGCTAAAGCTAGAGAAGTTTTGCTCATTGAAAACTTATTGGATGTCTACATTAGGTTCCAAAGAGAAGTCAGAAATGAAACAGACTGAACCCTGTCCTCATTGAATTTGCAGTCTTCGGGAAGAAATAAAACATAGGCAGTAATGTTATCAAGTAGAAAGTGATATATGCGGGGTAGAGAAGGGTTAGGAATTGACAGGGAAACTCCATGAGAAAAGAAATGGTAAACGCAATTGTTAAGAATCACAATAATCACAATCCATACAACTCTAACACAAAACTAACTTACTTCTGTTATTTTCTAGAAGAGAAAAATGGACAGTCACTCCCAAGGTTCAGTCAGTAATTGTAATAATTAAAGATTTAAGATCAGTTTGCTACAAACCTATCATAGACGTACTCAAATCTTGTTGTAGAGGAGAAACGCATGCAATCCCATAAATTGAAAAAAAAAATGACTTTTCAAAAACATTGTCTACAAAGTATTACACAGAAATGTATTTTGGGTAGACCTTTGCAACAGAGTGGGAAGAGCAAAGGAGCAGGTATCTGGCATTTTATGACCAGGTTAACCTGGCCTGTATTTTCCCCTTACAAAAAGTGCATAGTCCTCCATTCGGTCCTGACAGACCCCAAGTGAAAGCAAATGGACATAGGTCTGCAACTATTCTTAAGGTCCCAGAGGATTTCTGTGACCACACACAGGGATATTATCACCAGCAATTACACTCGCCAAGCCACAAGTACTAAAAGTGGAACAGCAGCCCCCAATATCCAATAATGTTCCAGTAAACTCTCCGAATTAGCAACAAGAGTAAGCATTAAAATGGCCAGTGACTTCTTCACAACTCTTTCTGACGCTGTTCCCTGGGGCTCACCTGGGAGTCCCTGCAAATTCAGGTTACCTTAACTGAGTGGAACACACAAAATATTGTGTGTTCTCTAAATCACAACTGGGGAGTACATCGGTTTCGTATAAGGCACAGGGGTTGGGTCCCCAGGAGGCGGAGGTCCCGGCAGTGCCACAGCACCTGCCTCCAGCCAGCCAGTTTCGCCTTCGGGGACCCACTTGGCCTCAGCTGACTTGGGTGTGGACTCAGAGGTCGGAGTCCTCACACAGGCTGCGCTTCGGCTCTGTTCCCCAAGAGGAGAAGAGAAAGTGCGGTGGGACAGCCCTGCCGGCCAGCTCCAGCCACCGCCCTCCTTGGGGGGCCTCCCCCACCCTGCCCCCGGGAAGGGGCGGAGGAGCACGGCGCAGCCCCACTCACCTTCTGGATGGAGGACTTGCCACTGCGCCGAAGCCCCATGAGCAGAATCCTTGGCTTGGAACTGTCAGCGCCCCCGGGGCCACAGCCTCCGCCGGCCCCCGCCCCAACCCCACCACCCGCGGCTGCCGCCTCCTCTTCCTCCTCCTCCACGCCGTAGCCGAAGTCCTTTGGGAACGAATCCGCCGCACCGTAACTGCCGGCGAGGGGCGTCTCCTCCGCCCCGTACTGCAGGGACATGGTGCTAGAGCCGCCGCCACCCGCGCCCTGACAGGCCAGGCCAGGCCAGGCCAGGCCGCCGCCTCCCCAGTTCACCACCTCTGCCGCCGCCCCCGGCAGCCGCCACCACCATGCGGCCCTCCCCCTGGAGCCCGGCTCTCATTGGCTCCGCTCCGAGGCCCAGCCGTTCATTGGCTACCCTAGGTGTCATTCGGAAGCAGCAGGGTAGGTGGTGCCCGTCACGTGCCCAGAATCACCTGACTCTAAACCGAGGAGGGGGAGGAGGAGTCACGAGGAGGGTGGCCCCACCGAGGAGCCCTGAGCTCTCCACCCCAGCCGGCAGCCCGGAGCTGGAGCCCGCAGCCCGGAGCCCGGAGCCCGCAGCCCGGAGCCCGGAGTCTGGAGTCCACAGCCCGCAGCCCGCACCTCGGTCCTGCCCAACCACGCTCATTGTTTCTCACCGCTCTCGACTTCCTCGAAACTCCGGGGACTATCGCTAAGGGAGATGCTTTCTGGGCATTTGGAAGAACTGATTGTTCTCCCAGTACAACTGTACCCGCCCAAACCAGCACTTACTGACGTCTGCGAAGTGCTGGGGCACAAAACTAAAGCCGACTCGGACCCTGCCTACCTTCCAGTCGTTCGAAGATAAATGTCGTAAGTAGCCTCGGTACAAGTGGGAAGGTCAAAAGTACAGATAATAACGATCGAAGTAGAGAGGGTAAGAAAGTCTACAAGGAGCTGGTCTACGGTAGGATGGATGGGTATGGTTGGGAAATGCAAAGGTATGGAGGAGGAGCCAGCCAGGGTGAGGGCAAAACCTCAATCGAGACAGTCAGGAGTGTGACACAGTTCGTTCTAGCGGGTAGAACATCTCTTACTTCAGCAAATCACTGACAGTGCATACTGCTACCACTTCAAATTCAGCATGAGTCCATTTCTCCTCCTTCCCACCTAGTCAGAGTCTATTCCAGTAATTCCATGTCCCTGCTCCCCGAGTAAAACATTGCACCCCCTCCCCCAGACCAAAGGAATAAATAATGGAAGCAAATCAAAAGAAATCCTTGTCACTAAATGTTTCAGAAAACTAGAGGAATTTTCACCCTTGACAGTCAGGCTTTAGATTTGGAAATTCGATAAAAGAGGATATTTGTCTTAAAGTAGGGGTGGTGGTGGTACTGGTCTTCCAAGGAAACTAACTTCTTGATTATGAAGGGAAAGCCTGTTCATGGAGGTCTTGGATTTGGTTATGTCTGACTCTGTAAGTTAAAGGTAGGACACATCCTTAGAGATCTAGTCCAACCTTAAAGAGGATGCACTATACACCATCTGATACACATAGAGCATACACTTTAGTAGTTCCAAAAGAGAACTATCTCAAAAGGGGGCCAATCGCACCTGTGGTAAAACTTTAAAATTCTCTTACTCAGGCCAAAAATCATACTCCCAGGAGCTTACAGAGGAGCAACACAGGAGTAGTTTTCTCTGTCATGACAGCCCTAGATTGTAGTCATTATCCACTAAATCTTTTCCGTTCCACGCTAAACATACTCAGTTCCTTCAACCATTCCGTCTATGGTGATGTCCAGTAGATTATTCTGATGATAGAAATGTTCTACATCTGTATTGGTCACTGTAGTAGCCAGTGTGGGTTGAGCACTTGAAATGTTACTAGTGTGACTAATGAACTGAATTTTTAATTTTATTATAATTTTAAATGCCAGCTGTGGCTATGGCTTCCATATTAGCACAGTCTTGTGTTTTCAAATGCCCTCTATTGGTCACTTTCCTTTATATGCATTTGAGTTTGTCAACATCCATCAAATGTCTGGCACCTAAAATGCAATACTGACCAATACAGCCTTCAGGGTGACTTTAGCCTCCTGACAGTAATTCTATTAATGCTTTCCATAATGGAGTTTTAAAAATTCATGAAGTACAAGTGGTCCCCAACAATAATCACCGGAACTTATACTTTGTCAACAAGCCTAGTGCCTAAACTTGTGTAACTGCAATTTTTAACCTAAATATAAAACTTATATTTCAGCTTTCTTTTTGGGCCCAGAAGTTTGAGTATTCCAAGTTGTTAAGCATTTTCAAGCTTGTTTCAATAGTTTACTAACCAACCCTTCCAACTTTGTGGCACCTACAGATTTGGCTTACTATCATCTGACCCATATGTAGTCCTTTATAAATTGCAAGGTAATTTTCATCCATTATACTTAACTTGATCCTTACAACAACCTTTTGAGGTAAGCAAGATATGAAATCTACATTTTATAGTTACGTTAGCTGACGCATGGCAGGAACTGAATGAATAGGATCCTTTTTCTACTCCATTGAGCCTCTTGTATATTGTCTTCATGCAAATCATTGATAGAAATGTTGAAGGGGACCTCCAGAGGTCAGGCTGACCCTGAATTCTTAAATAGCACTGACTGGTACAGCAGTTTAGCAGGTCAGTGCCACCAAAAAGTGTGATTATCCAACTCACAGGCTGCCATCTTGTCCAAAAGGATGGTACAAGAGACAGCCACCTGCCTTACATAAATATTAATACTAGTCCCAAGGGAAAATAGCAATGAGGGTTAGCTACCAGACAAAAATTTCTACTAGTCTGTATCCACAAGGGACTGTCATATCAACAGTGTAAAGAAGTCTCTCTCTCTTCCAAAACCCTATTGGGCCATGTGGTGGTATGATTCTTACACATCCTAGCCCACACTGGAATTGCTTATATACATATCTTATAACTAATTTCAAGTTCATTTTTGTAACACCTGGCATTCAGCCCACTGCTGTCCATGTAGGAGGTGCTCAGAGTAGTAAAAGATAAGCCAATTCAAGTGAATGTTCTTCCAACAGTATCTGGCCCCCCTTCAAAAACAAACTTGTGACTAGAAGAGGCACAGACCACTGCCATATTTCTGCTACCGTGATTGATTAAAATGCCCTTATAATTGGTTTAGTCAGTTTCTAGCAGGTGCTGAAACTTGCTAGTTAAACCAGCTTTCAATGGATCGTTTTGTGTTTGTATCTTTTGACTGAAAAATAAAGACTGGTTCTCTAACAATCAGGACAGGATACATGAAATAGGACTACTTAATAGTATCAGTCAATCAGTAAGGAAAATAAATGATCAAGAAAACAAAACATCGCCTGTAGGTCTTCCAAAAAAAAGGAAAAAGGACTAACAAACAAGAATATAGTGCTTTACCATTTACAAATCTTTCACATACATTCCATTTGACCCTCACAACAACCCTGTGAGGTAGGCAGCACAGATATTATTCTTTCCATTTAACAGATGAAGAAAGTGAATCTCAGAGCAGTTTACTGATGTGCCCAAGGTTCTACAGTTAGTAAATAATTTGTATTAATATCAGTCTTTGACCTAAAAATTCAGCACCCAACATCCCGTCATACCTGCCTTACCTACATCACAGGGGTAATGAAGATAAAATGAATTCAAGGCTAGAAAACTACTTTGAGAGAAAAAAAGCACTATATAATTATACCCACAGACTATAATTTTCCATGATATATGGCTCATTCCCCTTCTCATCCCAGATTGTGCATGAACCCAGAATTTTATATTGCCTCTGTTCTGTGTTCAACTGAACAACTAAGTATGGCAGGGGAACAGTGTGATCCTGTTTCAAGTTATATAAATTACAATAAGGGTAACTGCTATTATAGCAAATTGAAAATCAACACAGAAGGCCAATGTGCAAGTAGAACTCATTGAAGCACAGAGCAAGCAAGGCAACATTATCAAATAGGGCATGATTGCATAGAAGGAAAATGTGGTGTCAAACTGGCACACACACAGTTACCTAAGGCAAAGTGGTGGCGAAGAAGAGTTACTCATTCTGCATTATATAAATGAGTGAAAGATTCGTGGGAACCCATGCAAAAGCATCTCATGTCACACAGATCGCTCCAGTTGTCTACGGAGAATTTAAACAGTGTCATCTTCCTTTTAAAGAATGATTGTACCTGTACTCATATCCTGAACTAAACCAAAGAAAAGCTAACCTTCCTGGGCTAAAAAACAACCAGTACCACCATTCCTAATCAGGCTAGTAAAGAGAATGTCTTTTAAGGAAATGAATTAGATGGCTGTGTTTAGAATTTTTTTTTTTTCAGGATTCACTTTGGATTCTTCTGCTTTTAAGACCCAAAGAAAGTTATATTGAGTTTTTATTAGTGATTCTAATATGTGTTTATAACAGTTAAAGTGTGATAGGTGAATTTAACATATTAAAAGACTTCTATAGCATCTGTTCAGAAAAGATTATATACTATACAAACTATTCAAGTCTTACAAAACCATTTTTCAGTGTCTTTTCAACTGAGAAGAATCTTATTCAGCACGCTTCTCCTCCTGAGGTGGTTCATACTGAGCAAGCTATAGGGCAAAGACAGAGGAGTTTAAGTGAATTTTGTTCTAAATTGGGTAAAAAAAACTTAATAGTAACAAAACAAGTTAACTGTTATATTCAATTTAATTATTGAATCAGTAAGTTTATATGTTTAAATAATTAAACCATTCAATGTTTTAAGATTAAATACAATCAAACCTAATGAATACTTTTTACATAAATCTTTTAATATTACTATGAAACTAAAATTTAATTCCAATTTATGACTACACTGATAAACACTGATGTATAATAATCTCTATCTTCCCAAAGATGATAATTTGACTTATAATAAGGGACTTTCTTCCCCTCCACCAAAAGTTTAATGAGCTTTGTCCTACAAAGTAGAAAAATTATGAGACATAAATGAAACTAGCCAGTCAGTAAAGAGCTGCCAATGTCTTTTATTTAAACAAAGTGCCTAAGAGTTAACTGGTATTTGCACATTGTGGAATCTTGGTAATTTAAGATTCTGCATTTTCTTTTATGCTAAGTTACTACTACTATGGAAGAACACTAGGCTAAGATTTGTTTCAGTTAGCTGTCAGATTTGAGAAACTAATTAGACTTCATTATACTGTAGTTTCCTCACCTGTGTACCTATTTTGCTTATCTCGAAATGGTATTGAGAAAATAAAACACATTATGAGAAATTCCTAGAGTAATGTAACATGT